AGGGTTTTCAAAGGCTATGTCTCTCACTCTCATCCTTTTAGTTCTGAGGACTGAATTCTAGAACACAGGGAGAACCTCTGATTTTGATTTTACAACTCACAAATGGTTATGACTCATGTTGTCTGTTGTTGAATCACAACCCAGAATGCCCACACACTAGGCATTTAATACATATTTATGGAAATGGACAGTACTGAATAAGTATCATATCAGCCCTCATATTAGTGATTCTTGATCACCAGGGGTATATGGAAAACAGTGTTTTCCATAAAACAAGACATTGGTAGAAAGTGCAAAGTAGACTTCAAGATCAAAATAAGAAACAAGATCAGAAAACAAATCTAAACTGAAGCTGGTTGGGAGACTGTCAATGTATCAAAAAAATGAGTATATTGGGGCGCCTGGGTAGCACAGTTGTTCAGCATCTGACTCTTGGTTTTGGCTCATGGTCTCCGGGTCATGGGATCAAGCCCCGCATCCTGCTCTGCACTCAGTACAAGTCTGCTTGAGACCCTCTCTCTCCCTCTGCCCCTCCCCACTGCTCTCTGTCTCTCTCTCAGGTAAGTAAGTAAATCTTTTTAAAAAAGATGAGTATAGGTGGCACTTCCTTTTTTTAAAAAAGATTTTATTTATTTATTTATTTATTTATTTATTTATTTGGGAGAGAGAGAGCATGTGCATGTTAGGGGTGGGCAGAGGGAGAGAGAATCTCAGGCAGACTTCCCACGAAGTGCAGAGCCTGACCCCAGGGGAGGAGTGGGGCGCGCTCAATCTCATGACTCTGAGATCATGACCTGAGCTGATATCAAGAGTTGGATGCTTAACAGGGTCACCCAGGCTCCCCTAGGTGGCACTTCTTAATCAAAGTGATCAGTTTTTGTGATATATTTGGAGTAAATTAACTATGTTAAAAAAATCATATAATGACTGGCCTGAGGTGTTAGGGTTCTCACAGATTAAGAGAAAGCAAACTGGGCTATAAAACCTTGTTAGTGTATCTGGAAATATCAAAGGGAGGTATTATTTGGAAGAAACCTTAGAATCAAGAAAGGGAAGTATCAGCCTATTTTAATTTATTCCCTTTATTCTCATGTCATGTTCAAACAATTTCTGAGTTGTAATTAGTTGCCTTATATACATCCCTGTGTGTGTGTGTGTGTGTGTGTATACATACACACATATATCCTGATCAATAATAGGGAGGGACTAAAGGATATAAACAACTCTGGCTCTCAAATCAGGTATAAGATGTCATCCACAACAAATTAACAGGGGTATCCTAGTTTGAAAGGTAGTTTTTGGTAAATTTGGGTTAGCATGAATCAGATTAAAAAACAACTATTTTTGAGTACTTGAATTTGGGATACATGTACATACACACACATAGACATTCACACATCATCTCATTATCCCTTACAACTCTCCCATGTGGTTGAGATTTTACATTCGATGGTACTTCCCCTAATTAATCAGGTATTAAGTGAGTACTTACTATGTACCAGACAGTATGGCAACAGTGACAGGTATAAAAATGAGCAAAAGCAGTCAGTCTTTAAATTCATGGGGCCTTCAGTCCAGTGGAGACAAACAGAAGAGGACACTGAGGCACAGAGAATTTACGAGCCCGTTTCTTTTCTGTAATGTCAGTTATAGCTATAGCAACTTTCACCTCAATAATCACAGCATTCAGTTTCAAGGATCATGAGAATTCGGGAAGCAATGAACCTGAGATTGAGAATATTTAAAAAATACTATTCAACTACCTAGAAGAAACTTATTTTAGAAAAGAAACAAAAAATACGGTCATTCCATTTTCTATTAAATTTAATTTCAAACACTCTCTGCATACTTTATCTAATACAACTTATTGGCCTTGAAATGAGACTGCTGTTAGAATATGCTTAGTGGATCCAAAAATCAATCCATCACTGTTGCCTTAGTCTTGATATCAACTCATTTTATAATTGAGGAAAACACATGTGTCTGCCTTTTCTGATGACAGTTTAGCTGAGCTGAAACTAAATTGAGTGTATGAAATACTTAATTTGGCATGGGGTGGTGGAGTCTAAATTCTTCCATAAGCATCAGAACTTCTCCCAGTCTTTATAATATTAGGGAGGATTCTTATTTCTAGATGCTCCTACCCTTTACTAAGTGACATGTATTTTTCAAAAAGCTCCTGATTTTCGGGGTGCCTGGGTGGAGTAGTCAGTTAAGTTTTTAACTCTTGGTTTTGGCTCAGGTTGTGAGATCGAGCCCAACTTCGGGCTCCATGGAGTCTGCTTAAGACTTTCTCTCCCTCTGCCCCTCCCCCATCCCCACTTGCTCTCTCTCTAAAATAAATAAATAAATCTTACAAAAAAGAAAAAAAAAAGAAGCCCCTGATTTTCTCCAAAGTTATAAAATACTAGAATGCTGGACTTTTCTTTGGATAACTGATTTCTTGGGAAATACAAAAAATAGTTTGTTTGGTTTTGGGCTTTTAATGACATTAATGGGAAAACCAGAGAGATTCTAAGGAAAGAAAAAGAGAAAACAGCATTGAAATTAATAATTTTTTAAAAAAGATTTTATTTATTTATTTGATAGAGAGAGAGAGACAGCTAGAGAGGGAACACAAGCAGGGGGTGTGGGGGAGGGAGAGGCAGGCTCCTGGCTGAGCACGGAGCCCGATGAGGGCTTGATCCCAGAACCCTGGGATCATGACCTGAGCTGAAGGTAGACGCTTAACGACTGAGCCACCCAGGCGCCCCGAAATTAATTTATTTTTATATAATTCATACATAGCAGAACTTATGAATGGTTGACGACACATTAAGTCTACCAATTTCCTTCCTAGTGTAAAGATATAAAAGGCAGAAAGAATTTTTAGATATTTTATCCTTTTGGAATCAAAAAGACAGATGAAAGTGTTAGAAATCCTAACACCCTTATTTATTTGTTTTTAAGTTTTTTGAATACTTTGAGTTAAAGGATACTAGTCATCCCTTGCTTTCCACTTACCATTCCCTTCACAAAGGGAATTTATTTCTTTTTAAAAGAAATAAAATTTAGCTACATGATCATTAATATGGGAATTATCAGAATCTTAGTATGAGAAAGCATCCCTACAATATTATATGTTGCCAAACACATGGTAATTGTTACTAAAACGGGAAGTTCTTCATTTAAAAATATCTCTAATATTAAAATGTTAAAACTCTCATTTAAAAAGTCATCCATCTGCTCATTCACTCAACCAGAAGCAGAATGCTTTGCAGAATAGAAATTGTCCCCACTCTGTATGCTCTTGGACCTATCGGGTGGAGCCTATCTCTGGGTAGAGATGGGATAACCTTCTGATCTAGAAGGAACTTTGTTTTAGCCACTAAACTTTTTGAACAGAATGCCAATGTCATCCTATCACTGTTTCATCCAAATATCCAAGGACTGTCAAGCCTCTCAATCAGCAACAACAAATGCCAATGTTCCATGGTCTCAACAGGATTTGCAACTCCGAATACCAGGCATTTAGTTTAAAACATTTAAAACTGTGGAGAGGGAAGAGATAACATAATAGCAGAATCAAAGGAATATGGCATCTAACTGGTTCTCTTGGTATTTTAAGCTGTATCTTTTTATCAAGTTAATCTCTAGAAGAAAACAAGATTTCCAGTCAAGAAACACTGGGAAAGGCAGGATGCTGGCAGTACAGTTTTCAGTCTCTACTCAATAGATCTATCAATAGATCAATGTGTGTGGTTCGGTGGAAAGAGAAACATTCCCCCAAGGGAAAACAAATTGCTAGGATTCATAATTCATCTACCTTTACAGAAAGTGTACCAAATACAGACATTCTTCTTACTAGTGAAAGGATCCAGAACATCAGGGAAGAGCCGTGTGATGTTATGACGTGTCCTTTTGTCCCTCTCATTATACTCACTCTTGGAGGCTTCAATCTTCTCTTATTATGGACTACAAGTCCTGGTACCATCTCTGTGCCACAGAATCCCGGTTTTGTACTTTTAAAATTGTGTATTTTGCTTCTATTTAATAACTGTGTTTTAAAATGAACAAATACCAGAGGACTTAAAACAATGATTCAAAAGAAAAGCTCTCTCTGATGATATGCTTTTCCCAAGATGCAGAACAACCTTTTGAGGAATGTCAGATGTTCACCAAATACACCTGGAAAGCCACTACTTGGTTGGATTCTCTGAAGTAAGCCCAATTCTTTCTAAACATAATTAAATATACAGTAGTCCTGTCTTATCCACAGGGTAAAATATTCTTACCAAGAATATCCAAGAGTCCCAGTGGATGTCTGAAATTGTGGATAGTACTGAACCTATATATACTTTTTTCCCTCCATACATACATACCTATGATAAAGTTTAATTTATAAATTAGGCGCAGTAAGAGATCAACAGTAATAACTAATAATAAAATAGGATGATTATAACAATATACTGTAATAAAAGTTATGTGATGTGGTCTCTCTCATAAAATATCTTACTGTACTATCCTCATTCTTTTTGTGATGATGTGTGATGATAAAATGCCTACATGATGAGATGAAGTGAGGTGAATGATGTAGTGTTAGGCTGCCCTTGACTTTCGGATAGTATGTCAGGAGGAAGACCATCTGCTTGGTCTTCTTGGACTTGTGGCTGACAACAGGGAACTGAAACCACAGAAAGTGCAACTGCAGATAAGGGGGGACTACTATAGCAACTCTTCTACTTCCTGAAATTCTAAAAGGCAAAATTCATGAAAATAGCTATGAAAAGGTAGGTTTCTCTCAATACTGTTTTTCTTGACATATAAATATAGTTACATGTCCTTTCCCTTATGTCCCAAGCCTCCTTCTCTCTTTCTCTCTCTCTCTCTCATTCTGTGACTCTCACTCCCTGCCTTCTAGACAGAACATACTATGGAGGTCAGTGTTGTGGGAAAATACAGACTAAGAAATCACAAAAACAAAAGTTTACATCATTTGATAAAAAAAAGTAATACTTTACCAAATGGAAAATTCCATCAAATGAAATGACACTCCAATCAGATGACTTACCTAAAAATAAGAGAGACAGAAGAAAGTGAGAACCTGGTATCATCCTCAATTCTTGATATAATAGATTCCAAAAAAACATGGCAACTCTCTTAACAACGGATGGATGATCCAAAACAAACAGAAACTATACCAGGGCAGGAAACACCAATTCCTTCAGAAACAGTAATTAATGTTAGAAAGGAAATGGCAAACAGGGAGCAAAAGCAATGAGGAACGGAAGTGGTATTTACTTTGAAATCACTTGTTCTCATATATATTTTTAACAGGCCAGTTTTGAAAATGTGGACACATATGTGTATAAAGGCCATAGCTAATCGGTGGCAGTGTATGCATACCACTTTCCCAAGACCTCCGGCTACTGTCTTAAAGAGACTGTCAAAGCTGCAAACTCGCAAATATCTTCAGCTCACATGACTCAAGAAAAAGGTGCCACTGTATTAAGTGCTACTGTAATTTCCTCTGTTGATTTTCTTTCCCCCTTAACACTTAAATGTTTTGGCTGTTTGCTTTTTTATTTTCCAAAGTGAACACTGATATTCATGAAAGGTGCCAGATTAACAACCAGGGGAAATTAAGAGCTTGCTCTATTCAAGAGAAATGGCTCAGTGTAGTGGAGGTGATGAAAGTTTCTCCTATACTGTGCTTGCCTATATACCTTAGCTCTGACCCACAGTCACCCCAGCTCTCCAGGTTTCATGGTCCATTAATGCCTTTGACTGCTCAGGTTGCTAACACGGGCAAGCAGTCTTGTTCTTGCTTTTAATGCTATCAATATTATTACTACTATTGTGAGCTCTAGCTTCCTCACAGAAATTATGTGGCAATTTATATTAGCTATCAGTTTGTTTCAGGACAACAGGAGAATAAACTGAACTGAAGATGAATCATATATTCTTAAGTAATACTGCAGGTTTCATTAAAATCCATTAATTTCTTTAAACAGGAGGCAAAGTGTTAAGTGGTCAACTTGAAACAGGCCTTGCTTAATACAGCCCCTGCACTCAATCTGAATTCTCATTTAGGGACATTCAATATTTAATAGCCATAGATCTTTCATTTTTCCTTTTGAATCTTCCGTAAGTCAGTCAATGTTATTATTCATTAGCAACTATGGTAAAAGTCTGGTGGATGCTGAAGCTCAAACTATCATAAAGGAGATCTGAAAATCACTGTCAATCAAACAGAAAAAATATCTCTTTCCTGTATTTATATAGGTATTCCAGGTTTCTGAAAGGCCTGGGTACTTTGTAATTCTTAATCACTAATCAGTCTCTCCTATGCTCAGGGGTCTATGAAATCATTTTGCTTCAATTAGGCAGATAACCAACAACTATTTAGTGTTGGCATTTCCTTTCTGTGCCCAAGCAAGATAGCAATCCTTCTCCTATCTAGAATTTATAACAATAAGGGAAGTAAAGCTAGCAAACACATGTTTAATATTAACGGAACAATGAAGTTCGACACTGAATGCTGCTAACTGACTAATAATTACTCAGTAATTATTTGGAAAGATCACAATATCAGTCTCACAATTGTTCCTTGTCTTTGCTATTGTACTTCTTTCTGACAAAGACCAAAGTCTGGCAGTTAGAATAAATTTCTATCTTGAAATGGCTAGCACTTCCTGTAATTTCTAATCTCTAGAAGTGTTAGAGAATGAGAATTGCAGGGTACCAATGACTGCAGCAACACATGGTAACAATTAGATGAAGGGTGCCCTGGCTGCATCTCACATGGAAATCTTGGAAAATTTTAGTTTGGGAACTTTGGCTGTTTTTTTTCTTTGCCATGCACAGCTTTTATCAAGTGAGTCCTTATGGTATTAAAACATTTGGCACTGGCTCAAGTCTATGCTGTTGCTGGCAGGGGATCTAATTGGGAAGCAGGGGTGGAGAGTAGTTACCTTTATCAGGAAAGACCTTAACTTTATGGAAAGGCTCTTTCCTCCCCACTGCTTAGGCAGCTTTACTGAAAGACTTAAACCCAGATGTGAGAACAGAGATTATCTTCAAGAGCAGCAGTGATTTATTGTAATTATGTTAGTACAAAGATTGAGAAGGTGGAAAATATTATGCTAACTTAGTAGATGAGAAGGGCAACACTCTTTATATAGGTCCCATGGCCAGGTTGTGCTGGGGAAACCAACTCCAACCCCTAATTGCCAGGGAGGCCTCAGTTTCCCAAATTGCAAGAAAATTAGAGCTTCACTACCTAGAAAACTAATAATCCCATGGTATACAAACCAGTGAGTGAGAGGCCATGAGAATCTGCTCACCAACAGATACCAACAGACTTTTGCCTCTACTCCGTCAGCAGCCAGCTCTTGCCAGTTTCCTGTTATCACCAGATGATAATCTATCTTTTTGAGATAATATATCTTTCCCAACGATTCCTGTCAGTCCTATAGTATAATTTATAACAATGACTATCAAAGCAACAGGCCCATTTTGCCTATACAACACTCTAGCTTCCATCAGTGAAGTGCTTGTCTGATATAAAGCACTTTGAAGGTTGGCCTTGAATTGCAAATATAGCAATACCTGTATACATTCTGGACCAATTCTAGGCTTTTCTGTGCCTTAGCCACCCAACTGAAAGTATATTTTATCATTAATTTATTCCCTTCTCCATTACGTAATGGATTTCTTACTGATTTCTAACTGGACTATTGCATCCTTCGTCATCTGGTTTCTCTCACTGTACTATCTTTTTGAGGTGGGGGATGTATAAGCATGGGTCTCCAGAATTTTGTATTTCATACAAAATGGATCAGTGAACATGGTAAAAATTGCTTTTGTGGACATGCCACTAGGGCTGTGTTCTACATGGTCTTCTTGTCAATTGAAAATTTTAAGCAATATGATATTCTGATCTCAGTAAATAAAAGATAAAAAGGCTAAATCTGAGAGACTCAAAATCATTGACTCAAATGGTCATGAAGAGAAAAGAAGAAAGTAATAAAGGCCTTTGGAACAGAAAATGACAGGTGATTTTTCCTTTTCTTCCCATTTCAAACATCTGACAACAGGCTAATGAATACCAAGGACACAAGAAACATAGCAAGTCAGGGAAAATTATAGGCCACATGATGGTATAAATCTCATATAAAAAACACCAGCTAAGGCACTAAGAAAGCCAGTAGATAAATACTGAAAGAATTATGAAGATGAATATGCTCAGATTTTGGATTAAGAGTACGCAAAACAAGACCAAAGAAAAATACTTTAAAAACCACTTTTCATTTTTAGGGGTGGGGGAGGGGAGCCAGAGGGAAAGGGAGAGAGAGAAGCCTAAGCAGTCTCCATACCCAGCATGGAGCCCTATGCAGGGCTTGATATCACATGATCTCACCCTCAGATCATGACCTGAGCTGAAATCAAGAGTCAGATGCCTAACGGACTGAGCCACCCAGGTGCCCCCCAAAATCAGGTTTCTTTAAAAAAAATCCCTTATAATACACAGTAGAGATAGCTCAATTGTAAGAGCTTGCAGGGGTTTAGTAATCCGACAGTTCAAGACAATGCATCATGGTCTACGTATCAAGAATGATTGGGACGCCTGGGTGGCTCAGTCGGTTAAGCGTCTGCCTTGGGCTCAGGTCATGATCCCGGGATCCTGGGATCGAGTCCCGCATCGGGCTCCTTGCTCAGCAGGGAGCCTGCTTCTCCCTCTGCTTGTGCTCTCTCTCTCTCTCTGACAAATGAATAAATAAAAAATCTTTAAAAAAAAAGAATGATTGCTTACTTTGACTGACATGGTACAATTATTAATTTGGTTATCTGATTGAATAGAGTCAGGAACATTTGCTCTTAGCTTTAATTTCTTAACTAAAGCAGCAAATTCTAGGAGTCACTAATGCTGAGGGCTGAGTGCATCCCAAGTTGGAATTTTCTTGGGAAGAGAAGATATAAGATAAACAAACTGGATTCTCATCATTCCAAAGCTGACTTTTAATAATATAAAAAGGGTAAAGCTAAAACGTCTGGGATTTGAATGATGGATTCCATGACTATATAGAGAAAATATATTTTTTTAAAAGAGCTTTTAGGGAACAAAACTACAGATGATCACCTCATGAAAAGGGGTGAAAGGTGGGACTCAGATTTATCCCCTCAGTGGGTAGTAGTAATGATTACGAGGAAGGAGGAAAGCAGGGTGTTGGTGAAGTACATAACAGTGCCAATAACAAAGAAATTTAGGGATTATTTAAGAAATGACTTATACAAAGAAAACAATTCAAAGACAACAAAAAATTTAAATAAGAGCCAAAGAACAGATGAGAGCTAGGGGAGAGATTAGTTTGGGTTAGTTTCTGAAGTTACTTCAACAGGGGCAGTGGAACTGGAGCCAGTCTCTCTTACTGCCCCTACCCCTCAATTTCCTAAATACACCTACATTCCACACAGCTGGTAACTATGACAAATGATTTTACCCAGACAGCTATGGCTGAGGGCTTTCTGACCTATGGCCTTAGGTCTTTTTGGAACCTAGTAACTTTGCCTCCCTCTTTTTTGTAAAACTTCAAATCTATGTCATTTCATTTTGCTTTTCTCTTTTCTACTATTCTTCATTCTTGTTCTGGTATACAAGGGTTGAAAAAACAGTAGCAGAGGTGGCAGTGAATGAGATACAGCTGGCCTGTGCAAAGGGACTATGAGTAGGAAGCAGCTGTATTTTGGAGGCAAGTAGAACAAAGGATTAGGATCTTCAAAGCCAAGGAAAGTTTCTCTCTGTGTTTTTCCCTCCTTTTCCCTCTTCCCCTTCTTGGGAAATGATAGAAATTTCACAAAACACATAGCCTTTCTGAATTCATAACAGTCTCCTTTTTCTCACATCCAAGGGTGTTTAATTTATTACTACTGCTAACATTTTACATGTACCTTGTTTTTATATTTTTCTCCTAAGAGCTTCAAAGAGGCTTATAAATTTTCATTAAAACATATATGCCTGGCCATAGTTATATTAATAAAATTTAACTTTAGAATGATGAGAATTTGATT